ATAGGTCGAAATGGCCGAAAGGGGAAATAGAAGTAAAGAGAACGCGGCAACGACTTGGCATGGACATAACTCATTATGAGGGGCAGCACTATCTTACTTGAATTGACTCTGGATTTACACGGTATTCAATATGGCAATATTTTAAAGATCAAACCAGTGCATGTCAAGAACTAAACGCGATATTTCTCGAACGAGGAGGCCCGGGTGAAATACTGATGGACAATGATACTGCATTTCGAAGCACATTGTTTTCTCAGTTTGTGAATAAAAAGAACGTTAAACTTCGATTCAGGTGCGCTTATGTACCTTCGGGAAATGGAACTGCAGAACAATGTCACCGAACTGTCAAAAGAACGGCGAAGAGAGTTCCGTGCAGCATACTGGAGGCAGTTTACTGGTATAACGTTAGTCCAAAAGATAGTTGTAAGTCTTCTACTGCACCTGCAAATAAGTTATATCAATGTGAAATTAGAGTAAGAGAAATTGTTAACAACAAGAATGCACATGATTCTCGTAAGAAGATAACCAATAAATTCAAACTGGGCGATAGCATGGGTTAAACCCCCGGATAGCCGATGCGACTCTTAATATAAGATTGCAATAATTACAGGGATAATCTTGGAGCAAACGGTAGAAGTGGACAAAATGTGTCGACATGTACGAGATCTGAGACAAGTAAGAGTTGACCACAATTTGAATGAAGATCTTGTACAAGGAAGAGGTGATAATGATTTAAGTGAAGAATCAAAAGATGAACTATATGTTGTGCTGCCTGAAGAAAAAATACGCAAGACGTCAGTGTCATGTAGAAGCACACGAGAAAGGAGGGCCCCTGAACGTTTTAGTTCTTGAGACGAGATGGTCATTGTGACCAAGGGGAAGTGTAAAGTGTATTTATATTTTATGATTGTTAACGATTGATTTGCGTTAATTGTAAATAGTTATATATAATATAAAGTCATAGTTGTAAATACCAAGAGAATATGATTGTATATTAATTATGTTGAATTGCATTAGAAAATATGAGGCGTTTAACGCTAAACTTATAAAGTCGATTTTGATGTGAAACTACATAATGTGGCTTGAACATTTTGAAATTCATTGTTGCTATTTATTACATCAATACCAGAAGGTGTTAAATCATTACCTGCCACTTGGACAACTGGTCTATCTGTTGTTATTGATGGGGCAAATTCATAGTCTACAAACACGTGAGGATTATTTGGCCAGATATCACACTTTGCAAAACCATTAAGAGCAGTTCCAACTGTTGCAGCCTTGCCATATGCTTGTGAGAAAACTTCACACACTTGAAATTCTAAGAATACACGTCCTGGATGGATTTTTAACCATGTTGATATAAACTGATCATAATAAGTTTGTAAAGGCTTAAAGAAAGCTACATCTAATGGTTGCAGATGTTGTGTTGTATGAGGAGGTAAAGAAGTTTAAAGAAAAATTTAAATGAAGCAATAAAGTTTTTATTGCTTCATTTAAATTAACTTCCATATATATAATTGAAGCCCGTTTTCTCTTTAATTTTTTAAAACTCCAAAATGAATAATGCACGAAGACAATGAAATTAATGTTGAAGTAAGAAATTTGATCATTAATCTTGTTAACGAAGGGAAAAATGTAAAAGAAGTATTGGAACTCGTGCATAGAGGTGAGACTTCAATACGATGCCTGGTTCATCGATATATATCAACATGTAGTATCAATCCTGGTATTAGAGGTGGTTTTCGACAGTCAGGTTGTACTGAGGATGTAAGAAATAAACTATACGAGTTAATTGGAGATAACTGAAACTATAATATACAGGAGATTAAGGTAGAATTGGGACTTGATGTTAATGTCCTTATGGCAATAATTAAAAAAACTAAATTATACATATAAAATTTAAGATCCATTAATGAAAGACGCAATACTTTAGAGGTAAAAGAAAAAAGAAAAACATATGTTTCATGGTATTTAAACTTGACATTGCAACAAAGTTACATAAATATCATTTACATTAATGAAAGTCCATTCAATCTTTAAATGATAAGAAACCACGGATACAGTCACCAGGAACGACCCCAAATCAACGCATTGTCATCAAAAAGCCACAACATAACCATGATATTAGCATTAAATTGTTTAACATAGTTCACAGTGAAGCAATAATTGGCGTATGAAACCAGATGTCTTTAATTCTGGTGAAACCAGATGTCTTTAAAGGATTCTTAAATACACTTAAAAGTATTATGGGGAAGGAAAAAGAGTTTACCTTGTTGATGGGCAACGTTAGCTTTCATCATTAACTATCAGATTTTTACGACAGTTATCCCTGTGAAATTAATTTTTTACCCCGATACTCACCTTTTCTAAATTTATGTGAAGAGATGTTATCGAAAATTAAGAATAATTCAAGGGACAAATCCGATCGGAAATAACGATTTATTAGATCGAATGAGGAACGGTTATGAGTAAATTTTAAAACATCATCTTTCAAACTTTATGAGACACTGCGAATCTTCTCCTATATATAATATATATATATATATATATATATATATATATATATATATATATATATATATATATATATATATATATATATATATATATATATATATATATATATATATATATATATATATATATATATATATATATATATATATATATATATATATATATATATATATATATATATATATATATATATATATATATATATATATATATGCTATAATTAGAAATTTAGTTTTTCAAAACTGAACAATATGATAATAAAAATTGGCATAACAAACTTCAAAAACTTTCAAATTTTTATTAATTCTTATTAAATAAGATTTTTATGCTAAATTGATTTTCTGATTTACCTTGCTATAACTTTTATACTTACTTGGTTTTTTGAGAGGTTTTGTTACACAAATACTACACTATGCGTCGTTGTGTTTTTAGTGTTGACTTCTTCAGCAATAGGATACTTGTAAAAGATTAACATTAGAAAAAAAAAATTTCTGTTAGAAAATGAATAATTAACTCTTAGTGCTTTACAACCATTTAAAGTAGTTTTTTTGCACGAGTGTTTTAATTGGATACAAGGTTAATATACTAAGGCTAGGTTGTAATCAGGGCTGTTCCAAAAAGGTCTTCTATGGAGGTTGTATTTATTTTTTTGCCAACTAGAAACACTGAAAAAAAAAAAAAGGTCTTTAATATTTGCAATTTGCCAACAATAGCTTAAAACTTGCTCAATGTGCCAACTCAAATGCTTATATGACATGGGGGAAGGGGGTTGGACACCCCCGAGAAAAAACATGTTTTAGACAAACACAATATTAAGAACGCATTAAAAAAACAACCTAAAAATGAACTTCAAAGCTAAGTATATATTAGATTTCATTTATGTTTCGTACATGTCTGTTGATATATTAAGTATAACAAGCCATGTATTTATATATTTATGTGTATCAAATACAGCTCTATTCTCTTTTTGATTATCTAATAGCTTTTTTTATATATGACTCTAATGCCACTAATATGTGACTCTATACTTTATATGCGATTCTAATGCCAAGAGACTTTGCTAAACTGAAATTTTTTAATAAATTAAGTATACAAAAATATCGCAACTAAAAGCGGTTTCTTGATGATAAGACCATATGGCCTTCTGCAAGTTTTCCGCGTTCTTTTAACAGCGTTACTTTTTATATTTATTATTTGTGCTAAATTTATTATTTGTACTGAAAAAAGTTCTTATTATATGTACGATACTTTATTTTATACAGCCGTGCCGTCGATCGTTGTCGTTGAGTATTTGTGCATTCACTTGTTATATGCGAGTCCAACATGCATTACTTTACATTTCTCATCGTTGAAATGCATGAGCCAAATATGTGACCAAGTAACTATTATTTCAACAAATATCTGCGTTAGATAATGATAATGATCAATCATAACAAATATATGGTTCGGTGAGGCACTAAAACCCATTATAATTAGTTACTGTATAATATACTGTATTAGGTCCTTACTGCTAGTAACTGTTCATTGCAAATGGCGCAAACTTTTAAGTTTTTTTGAAACGTTGTTTTTCTTTCTTAATTTTTTTTAAACATTGCAAATATGACAACTTTTCTTAAAAGTTGTATTAAATTGTAAAAAATAAATAGCTATTAATAAATAATGTTTTGTACTATTTCTACTATTACCGTTTCTGGAACTTTTTTTTGCAACTAGTTACAAAAAAGATTTTGAAAACGCTGCAGCTGTAGCGTATTCAAAGTTTTGTTTGGAGAAAAAATTTATTTATAATTTTTTACAAATGCTATTCATTCTTTTTATGCTTTAGAAATTTACTTTTTTATGCTGACGCTTGTTTAATAGTAAATTGAAATATTTATATATCTATATATGGGTGAAAATCTTTCTTTTTTTAGGGGAAGGGGGGGGGGGACAGAAGGATCTAGATAAGTAACTTACTGGAGTCGTAGAAATGCTTTACTTTTGTATTTTCATATTATTTTCAATAAAGTGTGTGTTACAAAAAATCACAACAATTATAAAGCAAAGTAAGCCTATGAGTTCATTTGCCAAGCAAAAAAACTTTTAAACACTTTAATATTCTATAATGAAATTTTAAATTTGTCAATAAATATTTAACTAAAGTAGTAATTATTTATATTGAACTAATTTAGATTTTTTTTATAGGTATATTTATTTCAGACTCAAAAATACAAAGATGTTTGTGATTCATACCATCTATGTAAGTTACTTATTTTAATCACCAAATAACAGATTTACATGATTGTATATTTCTTAAAATTAGTAAAAATAAAATATTTTTTCAAATATAAAGATATTGGTGTTTTCATAAATTTAAACGGCCAATTAAAACAAACGAATTATATATTATCCAATTAAAAATAAGGAGTGCTTGAGCATGTTTGGTGAAATCAGGTTGCTTCTTAATTGCTGGCTTAATTGGCTTTTTTTAAAAATAAACTTACTATGCTTCGCTGCACAAAAGCAACAAGTTATGTTTTAGACTTATTGCTATAAACGGTGGAACGCAACTAAAACGGTAAGTTAAAATGACAATACACAGCATATCAGATAGTTTAAAGTAACTAATAACTTGCTTAAAATATACTCAAGTGGCTCAAATCGAATAATCCAAATAGCTGTGAGCTATCGATCTGGTTCTTAGCACGTAATATATAGTATTCTTCTAAATTATTTTTATAACTTATATAATTAGGGAATATAGAGTTTGCAATTGAACTCTATATTTTTAATGTATCTAAACATCGTTGCTGCAAAAGAGCTGTAATAAAATAAAAAGGTGCATTTAACAACTTTTCTATGAAGGGAAGTTCAAAAGGTATACTAAATTTTATTTTAAAAGATTTTTAGTTTGCACTATTAATGTGGTTGAATTGCGCAATTATTGCACACAGTTTAATTAACGCCTAATTAATGCTTAATTGAAGTCTAATTACACCTTTACTAATACTTAAAGCGTAATTAACGTTTTATTGGTACATAATTAATACTCAATTGATGCTATTTAACAACTTTTTTTCCGGTTATTAAGGTGCTCTTATGAGACTAAGGTCTTGTCACAAAGCACTGAAGAAAAATATTTAACTAAAATGTTTATGCATCCTTCCTTACCGATGTTGAATATATGGTCTGAGTTAGCCACGAACTTTGAACCCTGAATCACGGATGATTTCTTAAGTTAAATAACTCAACCGCCAAGTTTTTATATAATTACATATTGCTTTAGAACAGCTTTTTTTAATAGAATGTAATATAGTAGCCGATTGCGTAGGTACTATCGCATACAGAAGAGAAAATATTTTTCAATAGAAAGTAGGCGGTTGTGTAGCAATGGTGGTGTGTAGGCAGTGGCAATTGTGTAGACAGTGGCGGTTGTAAAGGTAGTGGTAGTACAAAAGAAAATTTCTTTGCTACTACCCATGGTTAAAATTGGAATTTGCGTAACGTTCCGAAAAATTAACCGAATCGAGGAACTGTTATACTTTACCAATACAAATTTTACCAAAAATTAGAAATTGAGCAATTATAGTTTTTCATACATATTGTTGCGGTGAAGATGCATACACTTAATAAAGAATAAAAGTCAGTTTTACGTCATAAAAAATGTAAAAATATACCTTTATCAATAACACATGTAACACTTTTTCAGTATGTTTTTGTGTTTGTAGCAGTAGTGAATTCAAGAAATGGTTGAGTTAGTGTATGCATCTCAATGCGTTTGTGGTAGTGACAACTGCAATACACTTTTATCGAGAATTCAATGGCAGTGTTACGTTTTGTGATGTTGTTGACTGCGACAATCAATGATCGACAACGGTAATAAATGTGGTGACTGCAATATTATGGTGGTGATTGCAATACAGCGTGGTGGTAATGATTGCAAAATTTATATTTTGTAGTGGAAGTGACTGCAAGAGAAGATGATTTTTATGGAAAAACCAATTACGTTGCATAAAAATCAAAATATCTTTATTTATCTTTTTTGCAAAACTCTAGCTTTACATATCGCAAACAAAGGTGAACTGGGAACCGATGCTTCAGCAACTAATTAACATAATGTATTTTTATACGTTAATGTAAAACGTTTTATAAATTTGTGTTGATTCGGTTTTATAAATTTGTGTTGATTCGAATTTTGATTCAAGACTTGAAACAAAAAACAAAACTAACATCTTTCTTGAAATGCATAAAAAAAAAGAGAGTAAGAAAATAGCATCTTAAACTAAATAAATATCCATTTTTAGATTTTAAATCAAGTTAAAGCAAAACAGTTGCAGATGATGTTTAAAAAAACACATTTTCAAAGACCTTTTTTTTTAAAGAACTTTATTTGGAAAACTTTTAGTTTCATGTCATTATTTTTATAGAATCTTAACACTAATTCTTATCTACTTAATTACACTTATTCTCCATAATTTACACTTATTCTCCATAATAAAGCAGTAATACTTATACAAATATTTGGTATAAAACTTATAAAATATATTCGTTATTAGTTTAAGATTTAGGTTTTTAAATGTCGACTGCATTGTTTCCAACTCTTTATCCAGGTCATCATACTAATAGTCAATAAAAATAATTGACATTAAATTATTAGTATATAGCAAGCTTGAGGTTTTTAGATGATTATCCCTGGATGTCCATATCATTCCTTTTATTTTTATTATTCATTCTTTTTATTTTTATTACTTTTATTTATTGCTATTACTACTTTTTTTAATTCTTTTATAATTTTTATAATTGTTATTTTGTTTATATCAATTTATTTATTAATGTAAAAATGCTATCAACCAGGGGCGCCGAAGCATTTTTTGGTCTTTGAGATAGCTAACTTCCAGACATGGAGCAAACTCCAAACATTTATATGTTTATACTTATGTCAAATAAGGATGCTTTACAAAAAATTGCGATGATTGGAGCTTGGGAACAAAAAAGCCCCAAAATTATGTACCCACCCCTACCCCAAACGTGAGAGAAATAAGTTGATAATATATTTTCTGTACTATTTTCAACTTAATTTATATTCATCGATAAATTTTAAGGTTTATAGTATTGAGTTGGGAAAGGGGGTCAAAATTTTGGGGCATTTTTGTTCCCAAGCTCCAATCATCGCAATTTTTTGTAAAGCATCCTTGTTTGACATAATTATGAACATATAAATGTTTAGAGTTTGCTCCATGTCTGGAAGTTAGCTAAATCAAAGACCAAAAAATGCTGGTGGCGCCCCTGCAATTACTGTTTTCACTTGTTAATACTCTGTCATCAAAAGATAATTAATAATAACAATGAAGGCATGACAATTACAACATGATATGGAAAATATTTTCTTAAATTTATCCGAAGACATTTAAATAAGCTTTTTAATTTTAACTTTATTTTTAAGTTTCAACTTGTCTGTTAAATTTTAAAATATATTTATAATAGGTATAGCTCCTTGTTTGCTCTGATGATATTTTTTACAACACTGGTGATAGTAACAAGCATAATCCTAATCGAAACTCGCTCTCTTTCTGCTTTAAAAGAAATTCCGAAATTCCCGCGGCTAACAGAATTTTTTAAAAAGAAGCCCGAGTATAGCAAAAAGTCCAAACTCAGCCAATGTGAAGTTGATATCCGTAAAGAACAATGTGCATATATAGCTTATCCAAAACGACCACACTGTCTGGTTCTAAAAAACATTATATCAGACTTAATACCACAATACAAAGTGTTACTTAACTCGACAGAGCTAAATGATTTTAAAATGCAAAGTATCTCGCGTTTGCTTGTCAACACATGTTCTAGAAAACTTACAATAAAAACAGAAGCTGATGGAAAATTTACTATCATTCCAAAAGGTAAAACTTTTTTAATATATACACTTAAAATCAACTTAGCTATGAATTATTTTCAAAAATACGTAACCATAACTACAAGCCACAATACTTAAATATGTTATGACTCCTTTTGTTAGCAATAAATTGTTTCTTTGCGCCCCCTAAGCAATATAGCACAGTTAATTTTAGTTTTGAAAATTTATTTGTTAACAAGTATTTTTCAAAAATAAAATTAGTTATCATAATTTTTATTGATACTTTTTAAAATATTGTTTTCAAATATACATCTTCTACAGAAATATTAAACTTTTTCAGTTTATAATAAGATTTGCATAAATTAGATGATCTTTTTATTTTTTTCTTATGTTTATTAAGTATTAAATTTTTTTTTTAAATAAATAGAAATTGCAAAATATTTTCTAGCAATGCATATTAAACCTTAATTAGAAGTAATTACTATTTAATCTTAATTAGAAGTAATTAATTAAAAAAACATATTGGATTAAGTAATATTTTTTGAACTTACTTTTAAATTATGTGCATTATTTTCAAATTATTTATAAACCATGCATAATTTGAATTAATGTCTTGACATTTATTAAATCTGGATTTGGTTTTTGACATTTAATCAAGATTTAATGATGTTTCTCTTTCTTTCTAAAGCGACAGTTTGATCAGTTCTGTTTTAATCATTTCGTTATTTGCCTAAGCACCTACGTCTCAAAACGGTATTTACGAAACGAGACATAACGGTAAAAAAAAATTGCTTTAATAAAACCAATACACAACGAAATAAGATTTTTTACATTTTAATAAATCGGTACGAAACAAAAAAGTGTTTTGCTTTGTTTCATAAAAAACGCTTTGAAACAAAACAAGTTTTATTTTGTTTCGTAAAAATTTGTACGAAACGAATTAGGGTTAAACATTTTCCGAAATGAAACTGTAAAATTTAAAAAGAACTTAAAGTTTTTTGAGTTTTTAAAAAAATACCGATGTTTTGTTTTCAATAAAAGAAACACCGCTATTTGCAATAAAATTCATACTTTACCAATTAAAATAAGAATTATTTAACGTATGCCCTATTTTAACTCTAGACATTAGTGTAAAAAATCATTTACATTGACGCTATCTTCAGATTGATTGTTGCGTAACTTGATGTATATAGGAGCCATTATAATATTTTTTTAATGAAAACTTTGCGTGATGTATTATCTAAAATAATTAGTAAAGCATAAGTAAATAAAAAGTTTTAATAAAACGTTTTTTTGTTTGAAAATAAGTTTTTTCATGTCATTCAAAATTTTTAATCTTAATTTAATAAAGGTGCAATACTTAGTTACCAATATAGCATGATATTATGCGAATTTTACGAGAAATTAGTATTGTTTATGGATTATTTACTATAAATTTTAACAAATTCATGTTGTTAGATAATAGATACTTTTTACAATAAGTTAAAATTTATTGTAAAAAGTTTTTTACTAATTCTACATTGACATTGAAAAATAATTTTGTCCGAATCTAAACCAATTTAGCCATAAATTGAGTCTCGGTCAAATTTTATTTTTTATGCAGTTAGTTTTATGTAATAAAGACTTTCTAATTTTTCTTTTGAGAGCTTTTCTCTTTTTGGTTAAAGTTCAAGGCGAACCTGGCGTTACTAAAGCTAAGTATCAGCCTTCAACGTTTCTTCTGATTTTTTGTTTGGTTTGCTTTTGATTTTTAATAGTAGTAATAAAATTGAAGAACATCTGATATTGAGAGGTGATGTCTGATGGTGCAGATTTGGGCTGAGGATCTTTTATAGATTTTTTCACTGGCATTGGTGCTAATAGACAAAGAGCTTTTTCAGTATCATTTATAATTTTTGAGATGAGTTGTTGATGAGTTATAATCAAAGTCATAGTTCATTAATTTTGAGACTTTTTAAACATGAATAAAAAATGAATTTCGTTTGGATTACCATGCTCAATCTCTTTGCATCCTGTTTAATCTTTAGATTTCGCACAATTTTATAAGCTAAAACATTGTTTGTTTGCACGCTGTTATTAACTTGTTATTAAAAAAATAAAAAAAGTTTCTTAAAACTAAATATTTGTCAAATGAAATGTGTTAAATGCTGATTAGCCAATTATATTTTTTAAAAAACAGGCTATAAGTTAAAAATAGCTTCTCTTTTTTTTTAGAAGATAGGGCGGTGGAAGAAAACTACTTCAATTTAATTAATTTCTTAAAAACTGCAAAAATGCAGTTTTATTAACTTTTTTTTTTCTGTTTTAAATTATAATAGATAACTATTATGTTTTTTTCACAGAATACAAAAACCTTTATTGTTGCATTTTAACTTTCAGCAACAATAGTTTGACTTTTTATCTAACAAATAAACTGTTTCACCCAAAACAAGACCATACTCGGTTTAGTTAAAGATATTAACATTTCTGGAAGATACTTTGCTGACCAAAACATAGTTCTATTAAAGATTGGGTCTCTAAACTATAACTGAAGTCAAAAGTTTTTGAAAGAATTATTTCTGAAAAAGAAATAATTATAGATATTTATTTTTCAGATTCTATTTTAATTGAAAATAATTGAAAATTATTTTCAATTAAATAAGAACCTGAAAAAGATTAGAAGAAGTATTTAAAATGGATAAGAGTACCATAAAAAATTTAGCTTAGTACTAGTTAACGCTAATGAGTAGTATCAACCTAATTAGGTTGATACCGCATTTTTTGAGTCTTTAAAGACTCAAAATATGATGTTCTTTAGATCTTGTATTAGTGTTAGTAAAAGATTTTAAATCTTTAAAAAAAAATTGCGTCAGATATTTCTAAACATTTGTTTTTTTTAAACATTAGATTTTTTAAATATTAGTTTTTTTAAACATTACTTTTTTTTTTAAACATTAGAAAAATCTGACACTAAAATAAATTATAAAGTCATAAAACTGTTGCTGGTTTTTTGTTGTCTAAAAGCTATTGTTTGGACATAATACGTTGATTAAATCATGTACAGGACTTTTTTTTATTACAATCAAAATAAATCCTGATTTTTTTAATAAATAATATTTTATTTACTTAGTCTATTACAGTCTTTTTTTTTTTTAAGTTTTTTTGGGTCATTGTTTGAATCACCATTTACATTCTCAATTGTTACAAAAGTTATTTTTAAATTACCATTGTAACAACTTGTTAACTTACTTGTAAAAAACTTTTAAATAAACTTTTTTTATCAACATTTTAAACGAAATATATTGCAATATATTTCGGACATGGTTAAAAGGCGGAAATGCGGAAATTTTCAATAGGTAAAATCCTGGAACTGTTACTCAACACAGTATAAGCAACAGCCTTTAAAAACAATTTTTTTTTTTTAAAAAAAATGATATTATAGGTACGAAATAAGCTAGAATGTTTTGATTGATATTTTGATTTATGTTTAAAATAAAAAATTTTAATTTATGTTGAAAAATATGTATAAGTGTATGTAAACTATGCAATTCTTCACTGATAATGAACAACAAATTAGGTTTATAAATGAGGGCTTAATGTTGAATTGAATTATATAGTAAGGCCTGTGAATAAAATAACCCTAGAAAGCCATATGAATTAAATATACCGTGCGTTTAGAAAGTCTATGCTTACAAGTAAACTTAAATATATAAGTCAAAAATAAAATCTATATATCTGATATAATATTGTATTAGGCAGTAATAGTTATCATTTAAAATAATATTAAATTGAATTTTTTAAACCCAAAGTCTTTGGGTTTGAATCCAAATTGTGGTATTGATGTTAAATGTCAAGAGTTTGATTGAGGTTATGAGAGCCTGAAGCAAGAAAATGCCGAAATAACAGATCCAAGGATAATTACTAAAACGTATAACCTTTTTTTTTGAAATGGGATCAGTTGAAGGCCGAGATTGAAGCGGACGACCATGAAAAAGAGATGAAAACACACCAAACTAGATACGTGATTTTTGGTCGACAAGCTAAAGTAATCGAGCTCTCTGTCAAAGTATATTTTTTCAGAGTAACCATTCATAATATTTTACATTCACAAATATTTATCAAGTCATATAAAATCAAATATTATATGAGAAAGACTCTGATCGTTGAGCCCAAACTGCCGAAGGTGTACTACCGCTTTTAAAGGACCTTTTAAAGGATACTTTGTAAAACTTGTTTTTTTTGTTCTGGTGAAGCCACTTTTCACGTATAGAGTTCATTATTAGAATTGTCAAGTTTAGAGTCAATAAAAACTAAATACTGTGAAAATATACAATCGGCATACATAAATATACAAAATAACGTTTAATGCGCTATATCTTCAAACTGCGTTGTAGGACCATGCTTTTTTGACAAACTAACTATCTAATGGCCAAAACTACCTCCTGATGCCTAAAAAAATTATTCACTCAGTATTGATTCAAAAGCGCATATTTAGACAAGTCTACTTTTAACTAGACAGAGTTTCCTGCACAATACTTTACTGATGTTAGAGCTTGGTTAAATTATCAGAAATATTGAAAGGCTGACGAGGTCCAATCAAATGGGTTACTCGACTCCACAGATAAAATAGGGATATGTTAAACAAAAAGTATTTCAATAAAAAATAATCAATATTGGCGATTTGAAAAAAAGGTCTTTCATTTATAAAATAGGGAAAATTTGATAAATAAGGGCACCAATCTTGATTGCTGTGTCAGGCGGCGTGATAGCTCTCGACAGCCCTGCTCATGATGTTTACCGAAATTTTCTGAAATTCAAAAAGGGATTAAAGACTAAAAGAGCCCATATTGAAATTTGATACCATTTTTAGTTTGCTATTATAATTATTTTCATTTATTAATAAATTATAACATATTGCAATTATAAATCATTTTATTTTATTCATTTGTTTTTGTAGATATATAAATCTATTTTTATGCATAGACTTAAACGCACTGTACGTTTAGTTGTTGAGAATGGATAAGCGTTTCATGCTTTCGACCTTAGAATTGTGTATGAAAACATTTATTTAAAAAAAATACTTTTGATAATTTTCCAATAAAAATATTTTATAATCCTTAAAGGAATACTGCAACTAAAAGTATTCCTTTAAGCATTAAACAAAAAAGCAGAGAGCCTAAAAATACACTGAAAATCAACTGAATGGTCTTTACTAATAATGTAAATCTAATGGCGCCTGGAGAATTCTAGGCATTCTTATCTCAATGGATTCAGCACAACATTGATAAGTGAATAATGCGCTTTGACTATGAAGTTTTTTCAAAGTATTGTATTGCCTGTAAGTGTTAGAAAAACTAAAGACCTTTTGACTCAACAGAATTACCTGTGTCAATCTTTACACACTCTATAGTAAGTATACCAAATATAACTTAACGTATACCAAGTATACTGGAAATGGATTAACTTTATCATTTAATGATGCCATGAAAGAGAGCCATACAAGTAGTACATTATCACTCTTGCAAAGTTAGAACACATAAATCATGTACAATCGTGTGCAGTAAAATAGTAGTGCGTATTTTATTTTTCTATCAATAAACTTTGAACATCAAAATATATTTTTCTATTGTTTGTTTTTTATCGTTATTGTTCATAAACTAAATGTTGTGATTATAATAGTATAAAAAAAATTTAAGAAAGATAATTGCAGCACTGTATGGTTTTAAATTTCAATATTATCGATTGAAGGTCATTCGTATTTTTTTTTAGACTGTGCAATAAAACAGTAGTGAAAAATTAATTTTTGTGTAATAATTACTGTATTTATTAAACTCTAATTATTATTAGTTCTTAGTAATAAGCAATAAGTAAGTAATTAATTTTGATATTAAATAAATTTATACACTTACTAAAATTTTGAAATTTTAGAGAAACATGCGGCGCTCTAAGCATTGTACTGAAGCAGTTCGTAATTTAATTATAAATCTTAAAAATCATCGTAAAACCTACAAACAAATGGAAAAATGGAAACCCAAACCAGAAAAACGTTGAAACAAAAGATCAACTATCGCTATGGAAGTATTGTATTGTTAGCGAAAAAGGAGCCATTTATTACTTTTAGAAAAATTAAAGAAAGGCTAGAATTAAATGTTAATACCTCAACTATCCGAAGACAATTAATACATGCCGATTTAAATGCAAGAACACCTAGAAAAGTGCAACTTTTGAGTAAAAGACATATTGAAAATTGTTTAAAATGCATGCTTCTTGGCCTAAAGAAAATTGGCGCAATGTTTTGTGAACTGATGAAAGCAAAGTTGAAATTTTTTATTCCCATGTTCGTAAAGAGACGGGTGCAGCATATAAGCTCGTAAGACCAACGGGTGCAGCATATAAGCCACAATTTACATTAAAGATGGTCAAACATGGAGATTCAAAAATAATGATATGGGGTTGTTTTTCTTACTATGGTGTTAGGCCTATACATCGCATAGAAGATATTATGGATCGGTTTGTATTTGTAAAAATGCTTGAAGAGATCATGTTGCTTTATGCTGAAGAAGAAATACCGTTAAAATATTTGTTCCAGCAGGATAATGATCCCAAACATACGAGCAAGTTAGCCAAATTGTGGTTTAATGAAAACAAAATTGATGTGATTGAGTGGCCAGCACAATTCACCGACCTCAATCCTATTGAAAACTTGTGGGTTGATGTTAAACAAGCAGTTTCTGAAAATAATCTAAGAGGTTGTAATTAATTGTGGGACATAGTACAGTCAGCATGGCAAAATATATCTGTCGAACGATGTCAGAATCTTGTTAATTCCATGCAACGAATTTGCTAGGCGGTTATTACAAATAAAGGTCATGCCACAAAATACTAATGTAGAGCTTCAAAAACAAAAATTTTTTTATAATAAAATTTAATTATTTTTTTACCTTTTCATAAAAAATGATTTTCACTACAATTTTATTGCACAGTCTAAAAAAAAATACGAATGACCTTCAATCGATAATATTGAAATTCAAAACCATACAGTGCTGCAATTATCTTTCTTAACTTTTTTTTATACTATTATAATCACAACATTTAGTTTATGAACAATAACTATAAAAAACAAACAATAGAAAAATATATTTTGATGTTCAAAGCTTGTTGATAGAAAAATAAAATACGCACTACTATTTTACTGCACACGACTCTACACAAACGTCTTGGCACTTATCTCAGAAAACTTGTAAAAGTAAACAAAAGAACACAAACCTGCATTATAATTTAGTACACAGACCTAAATTATACAATTAGTTGTAAACTCCAAAATTTTAATAGTTTTGCAATTAAAAACAACGTTTATTCGTTAAAAAATTTACATTAAAATAATATATTGAAAGCAGTTTGGGCTAAACTTTGTTTTTATGTGCCAAATTTGATAGTCAAAAATACCAACATAAAATGTGTTTACAGAACTTTAAAATGTGTTTACAAAACATAAAAAGTGTCAATAAGACATTAAACTTCTAGTTCGACAGTATCTTGATTACGGAGCAGAAACATGAATAACGGAGAACTTAAAGGGTTGTTATATAGAAATATGAATAACATAACGGAGAATCTAAAGGGTTGTTATATAGAAATATGAATAACATAACGGAGAATCTAAAGGGTTGTTCGTATAAAGAAAGGATAGATTATTTAAAAATCGAAACATTAAAAGAAAGAGGAAAAAGATTAGATCTTATTCAAATGTTTACGACATCCAAAGAACTTGATAAAATAAATTTCCATGACCATATTTATCACTTTTTAACAACTTAAAGACGATTCAACATCAGAATTAGACATTGAACAAAAGCTCAAAAAATGTAACGATCAGACACATCATCTTCACAAAAAGAATATCTAATAACTATAACAGCTTGCCACAAAATGCAATAAATTAAGATTCAATAAACTCTTTCAAAAAACAAGATCGAGTCGATATTAAAGTTTAGGAAACAAATAAAATAACGAAATTATTAAAAACCTATATCATAATCCATAGAAATATTTAATTTTTTTAAAGCCAATTTTTCACCTTTTATCAGCTGAAAAACTGCTCTTAATGTGTTTTTATTTTATTTTAATAAATTGGAAACACTAAAATGATGTTTGTGAACCTATTTACACTCCTATATTGAATTTTAATGATGAGCCCAATAAATTTTTTTCTGTTTTATCAGAGTTAAAAATTTTTGGTTTTGCAAAGAAAATCAAAAATGAAATTTTCATTTACGACTAGAACAGTTGCAATAAAAAAAACAGCAAAGAATAAAAAGACGCAAACAGTTAAAAAGTATTAAAAACAGATACTTAGTTAAAGTTTAGAAAACATATGAACCTTGTTTTTTAATTCTTCTTATTATTCTAGAAAGTATGATATTTTCTCATTGTTATTAGTAATTAATTTTATCTTTGGTAAAATTTCGAAATTTAATTTTGCAACAAATTTTTAAAGATTAGTAAATGATATCTTTTGAAACAATTATGTAACAGAGCAAAAATTTTCATTGTTGTTTTTACAATAATATAATTCGTTTAAGAGAAGATTATTTGCTCAGCGTTTGTTAGTTTTCTCGAGATTTTGCTTGTTTAGTTTGCTGAAATTTTCTAAATCATCTTGGTTAGTTTGCTAAGTTTTTTGCGTTTGTTTTTTGTATTGTTAAGGCGGATTTCCTATAAGTGGAAATCCCCCTGAATTCTCATATATCTTTCCTTGACTGAATTTTAGTAACCATTTTTTATACAAATTTGGGTTTTAAGCAATCATTTCAAAAATTTGGATATTTTATTGTTTTTTATTTTTTCTTTGGGTAATCGAGGCAAAGATTTTCAAGTTTGAAAGGAATTATTAAAAGTTTTTTAAGTTAAGCATACTTTTTTTTTACTACAATCATTACTTCAATATAAACAATATTTAGGGGAGAGTGGGGAGAAGTGGGATATTAAAAAATATTTCTATAATATATTTTAATATACCACTTAAGATATTTTAGAATCTTTTTTATATAATCTATGTACTCCATTAAATAAGTTTTCAAAAATTTCAAGCACTGATTCCATCCCTTAAGATTGACAACAGGTTAGAATAAAATATATATATTTTTAGTTTTAGAGGAATTGTGCCATTAGGGTCAAGAGGGATATGTATGGGATAAAGAGGAAACGCTTAACTAGCAACATATTAACAAAAATTAATAATTAAAAATTAATAATTAAAATTTTAAACCACATAATTTTCATCAAAATATTTAAAAAGTTTCGATAATATACTTGTAAACCACGTTATCTTCATCAAAAAAATCTAAAGGTTTCCACAATTACACAAAAGTGTAATGGAAGAAATAGAAGATCAATTCATTTTCTTTGACTCAAAAAATCTATATTGAACTTCAATGATGCTCCTAGTATTATTTTTTCTATTTTATCAGAGTTAAGCCTTTTTAATTATTTATAGGTTTAATACCAATACTTTATATCAAACCTCTACTTAAAAATATTAATATTATTTTTAAGTATAGGTTTAATAGAGTATACCAATACTTTTCAATAATTTTGTATTCATATGAGCTTTCCAAGAAATCTTTTCGTCAATAATTATCCCAAGAAATTTAATTGTTTTAGTTCTTTTGATGTTCATGTAACCATAGTAATGGTTGCATGCTGTATATTACTTTTCTGTTGCTTTTGTTGTTAAAATAAAACTTTACACCAGCAAAATTTGAGCTTATTTCCCCAATGAGCTGTATAAAGAAACTTAAAAAGGAAAACTGAATCTTATGTAAAAACTCAAATATAAAAAAATTTGATCTTATCCAAATGTTTAAGATTCCAAAAAGGTTAGATAAAGTATATTTCTATAATCTTATCAATCACGTTGATTTGGTATATTTTTTAAAATTTTTCATTTGCTATCAGCTTGTTTTACTCTTCTGTTTAAAGTTGCTAGTTTAAATCTTTTTTAGTTCTACAGCTAAAATCTGTCGAAGCAGGTGTGTCAATTCCAATACCACTAGGTGATTACCAACTTTTTGGCACTGGAGAATGGAATATGGCTGACATAAAAATGAAAATTAAGTTTTCAAAGGAAGATTATGATCAGTATACTATTAGTGGCTTCTCAGAAATAGGTATTTGTTTATGGCATTTATTATTATGGTCATTTTATGAGTACAGTTTTATTCAAATTCCCTCGAAAAGATTTGCCCAGTTTACGTTTTTCAAAATACTTCTTTAAATATTTATGAAAAGGAAAAAAAATTAAACTCTATCTCTCTCTACCATTATTTATGTTTGTTATTTTTAGTTATGATTGGTCTCTGAGCATTTAAATATTTGTAAATTGTTTTTGTTATAAAAAAGGCAACGAGTTGTTTAATAAAAAAGCCATAAAATACATCGAACACATTAAAAAAAAAGTTATTTTATTACATTTAAAACTTAAATATATATTTTTTTCTGTATATACTTGAAGCATCCTGACGCTGATTTAATTTTTTCTAATTTTAAAGTTAATTTAATTTAATTTGTATCTGCCATTTTTGTTCTTTTGTTGTTGAGTGTTTTTGGCTTTGTGATCAACGGTTTCAATGCTCCGCTCTGGAGGTTAATTTTCAATGTATTATTTGAAGTTTTATTGTATCAATTGAAATCTCTTTGATATTAATTTAAATTAATTTAGTATTTATTCAATTTTTATGGTATTAATTCAAATCCGTATGACATTAATTCAAATCCGAACTACGTGGTATATATTCAAATAATGGCAATGAAAGTAATGAATACACATGAAATAAATATATTTTAACACATGATCTTTATGTATAACCGTTTCAATAATTTTAGTACAAATAATTTTGAAAAAAAAAATTAAAAACCAAATAATAAATATTATTTAAGATCAAACGAGCTATTTACTTATACTAAAAACAAACTAAAGAGTACAGCATAACGTATCTAGCGCACCAATGATATGGAACAGCTTAAAATATATATATGTATATTAGGGTGCATCAAACGCCCCATACTTTCAAAAATTGATCTGTCCCTATTCTTAAAACTTTCTATTGGTACTCACAAGACACTCTGTTAAATTTTTTCAAAATTGAATGAGATTTAGGGGGGCCAGCTCAAATCTGAAACTTGCGACGAGACCCTAAACAGAAGAAAAAAAAGTTTTTCAAATGTATGTCATGTTGGGTCTTAAAAAAAGCAAAACTTTATAAAAATTTCAAAAATATATATAATTTACTAATGTTCATACTTATACTTAACAGTTATAAATAACGGAATTTTTTTATTCATATTTTACAAATTAATTTTATTTTCGACTTATAGTAAAATCAACCTTGTTTTGATTAATGCATTTTTTTTGTAGACTACGATGAGGTAAAAATGGGGTTGCTTTAATGGTGCAATATAGATTTGTTGTAAGGAAAGGCATAGGTGGGCTCATTCTTATATTCTTGTTACGGAGTTGAGAAAAAAAAATAGTCTAAACTTTGCGTGTGAGTTATGCATAAATAGTGAATAGTTTTATTGTTACACGAGTTATTCTCGTGACCTCATTTTTCCTCGTGCCAAATCCCATTTCTCCCTAAGCATGGGGTAAAATAAAATTCGGCTTTTTTTTAAGAATATTTTATTGTTAAAATTGCGGTTATATTTTGTTGTTATAATTCAAAAAAATACCGCTAATTATATACTAGAGATTAATAGTAACCATTCCATTATCTTGTCTCTACAGAAAGCGGAACAAAATAGTAACCATTCCATTATCTTGTCTCTACAGAAAGCGGAACAAAATAGTAACCATCTTGATTAACTTAAACATTTGTGGTTAGCTGTTGTAGATCTGTCGTCAACCTATATTGATTTAAAATAGTTAGCTTTAACAACATAAATAGTATCTGAACCACAACAGAGACTCTGACTAGGGGCTAAATCACAAAAGTATTGTGACGTTTTAAAAAATAAAACTTTACTCTTGTCGGGGAAAAATTTTAAATTCTGAAATATTTTTTCCTTTAATATTCTTTAAAATTAACTTTCCGAGATTACGAAGAAATACGATATTAGACTGTTAACTCCAGGCAGCAGCAGCAGCAAAAATACTTCTGGTTTTACTAATTTTTACACCTTTGTAAATACTGGTAGTTTTCCAACTGTTTCTTTATATGTGTAAATATCTTTTACTGTTTCCTATGAAAGTATTAAATTTCTTTAAATTCCGAATTTGTTCTAAGTTTCATAGCCCTTCGCCCCCCCCCCCCTCTTTTTACCTCACTGCCATCAATTTTTCTTGCTTTTTTTTTTCGTTTTGCTTCTTTTATGAAGTATATAGATAAACTACATAAAAAACTTTTACTACATAAAATAAATCAATTATATAGCTTTATAGAATGATATTTATTTATTAGCAAATAACTTTTTTATAAATTAGTCAGCGTTAAAAGTTTTTTACATTTATTTTTTCAATATTTTATATTTCATTTTTAATATTATTTATGTAAAGCAATATTTTGTTTGGAGTTATAACGTAACACATCAATAAGCATTAGGTCTGACACATTTTGTGACGTACATTTTTGACGCACCTAAAAAACTAGCGACATTGTTGGATCATTTGAACTAAGGAAAACGCCTTAACATGCAAAAAAACAGTACTTTGAATTCCTCCTTGCGTTCTCTCTATATTTGGCTCCACGCTGCTACCAATTTTTTGCTTTATATTTAAAAAAGATTCTTCAGGAAAAACCTTGGCTCAAATACATTAGTGATTGCTGAAGCTAATACCTATTTTGAAAACAAGATAAAAAAGGGTGTTTAGAGTTAATCACTATTGAACAACAATAGAATTAATCACTTTTGAACAACAATATGTTAATAAATAAAGTCAGTTTTTAAAACAAAAACTGTTTATCATTGTTAGATAGGAGACTTTTCAAACAAAGTGTTACAAGTAACTTTTAAATTTTTGTTCTGCAAAATACATGTTTTGAGCTTTAATTTTTAGATTTAGTCTCTATATCAAGAATAAGCGAAATCTTTGATTTGGACATACTTCCAAAAGGGCCTCTCACTGAGTTGCTGAGAAATATACATTTAGAAAACCTTACACTTCGAAAATGCAGACTGTATGGATTTGTACAACCTCTACGGAAAAACTATGAGTTAGTAATTACAGGTAAAAATACACTTACAAGCAGTTAGTCAAATACTATAGATATGTGGTATAGTTGCAAAATGATAACTGGGAGGAGGAGGTGTGTGGTCTTTTCTTTATCTCCTGGACTACACCACTGTATATATATATATATATATATATATATATATATATATATATATATATATATATATATATATATATATGTATATATATATATATATATATATATATATATATATATATATATATATATATATATATATATATATATATATATATGTATATATATAGTATATAAATTAAATCTTGTACAAATATACTTTAATTTTTAGATACTTTGTATAGATACTTTTTGTATAGATTATATGCTTTTTTAAGTATATGAAATTTATACAATTTTATATATAAATGTTTTTAAAATGTGTAAATCCAGTGGGCACGGACGTCTTGACATCTTATGGATCTCAAGACGTCCCATGCCCATGCCCAATGGGAAGTTGTTTTACAAATTTAATAAAATCAAATATTTGATTTCCAGGTTCACCTAACTTAGAAGAATTTGAGCGTGGTAATATGAGAATTTTTATTACAAAAAACAACGATAAAAAAAATTTAGCTTTTTTAATTGAACTTCAAGATTACTCGCCTGTAACTCTTCTTTCAAAAATATATGGTCCTGTTATAAATCAAGTTTCAATTTTACGTGACCGAAATCAAACAATTGCGTTATATGTATCGTTACTTCCAACAGCTAATTTTTCCACAACCTTTACTTCACACGGGAGCTCTAGATGGATTCATAGAGATTCTAATTTTGGTCCTGGGGCCTTTTTGCTTGTAACTTTGCCATTCCCTCGGAGAAAAGCGCTTGACATGCAAATACAGCTATACTCAGATGGCTTGGGATTTAGCTTACCTGAAAACGAAAATCTTCCTGGAGATTTAGCTCTTGGTGCAATCTCTCCAGCAAAAATAATGCATATTGGCGTAGACAAAAAAGCTGTACAAAAAAACAAAGACGATGAAAAGTATAAGAGAATTAAAATACTTAAATTTAGGTATTTTCTATTTAATGATACTTACTTGGCAGCTGTAGAATCCCATTTGACAGATGAAGAAGAACTCGAGGAACTAATGCCAGAAAAGCGTTCAGATTATTATAGTGAAAACGAAAAAAACTACATTTTTGAGAAATCTCTCGCTGGCGATACTAACCTAGATGCATTTTTTAAACGAGAAGAGTCTGAAACGGGAGCAACTAGGCGCGATGTAGGAGCAGAATTAAAGACAAGTAAAAATTTAAAAAGTATTTTGTCCAGTATTGGATAAAAGTTTAACTTTCAAGTTAATATCTTAAATTTTAAAATATAGCGCATGAACATATCAAAAAACAAACAAGATTCTTATAATATTCTCCGCTTTGATTTTCTTATAAGTAAGTTTTACATTTTGAAAATAAGTTTTAGCGATAATTTATACAACAATTTATACAACAATTTTCAGTGCACCCACCCCTTTGATAATCTAAAGGAAACTTCATTCATTTATTATTATCATTATTTTTTTTTTTTTTTTATAAAAATAGAATAAAATTTTCACTAAGTAATAAACTATTATAAAACGGATAAATGTAATTGACTCAAATGAAATTTATAACCGTTTAAAAAGCAATGAAGTTTCTAGAATACTTTTAGAGCAGCGTCGCTGCAATCTAATTTTTTGTACTCAGGTTCCCTTCTCAATTACTATATTTGACTTAATTTCAACGGCGCAGTTTCAATTACTGATTCAATTACGTCTTTTTATATGCTAAAATAATATATAGACGATTACAAATTTTTAGATATACTTTTTATAATTGGTTGAAATATATGTATATATTTATATAGAGGTTTAGCAAATTAACTGTAACAAAAATGTTTTACGTAAAAAAATTTATTTTATAATAAACATTTTTTTTTAACCTTATATTTATTTAAATATTTATTTATATTTATATGAAAGTAATAAGTTGAACTTTCTGTTTTTATTATTATTGTTGTTATTATTATTATTGTTATTACTTCCAAGTTAAAAAGTATTTATAGAGTAAATAATAATACGCCCCCCTCATTTTGAGGAGGTTGGAAACTAGACATTTTAATACACGGAGATCTGGTATAGATTTTCCTATTATCCGTGAAAATTACAATAGTAAAATATAATATAACCTGTATAAGTTGTTATACGTGCAAACCCACTTTAATTAAATAAAAAATGTTTATCTTGCAGTCGAAACGTTGTTCTTTTGTTTTCAAAAATGATGTTTTCACAAAACCCTGCGAAATAAAATTAATTTTTAAGATCATCGACGTTTGAGGGCACTTTATCGACGTTCAGGGTATTTAAAAATACACAAAGGATCAAAGAAATTTTAGTTTTTTTTTAGAAAAGATAAGTAAAAAGATAAAGGTCATTGAGTTTTTTTTTATGTAGAGTTCCCTATTTTGAAGTTTAACTATTTTTCATATAAAAAGTCAGTTTGAGCCGATATGGTCATATCGGTTTTTGGTTGCGCAAAATTGTTAAAATTTGAAGAAATAGTTGCATATTGGAAAAACGAAAATTGTTTAAGTAACATAATGATGTATTTCTTTTTATATTTTGTAACGTTTTTCTTTTTAATTTATATTTTATAGTTGCATTAAATATTTTTACTGTTTCTTTATTTAATTAAAATTTTGATACTACTAAAAAATGCTCAATTTCAGATCGTTGACAAAGTTCAAAAATTGGTGCTAATAAATATTTGTTAGCATCGATAAATATTCTTAAGCATCAATTTTTAATTAATATTACTAGATTCATGATTTAGCCTGTACTAGTCCATACGTTCGAATGTATCCAGTAGGTAAAACAGGCTAAATCATAAAATAAGTGTAGTATACCAAGAAATACACTATTACTCCAAATTTTGGTAAGTTCATAATAAGAAAGTTATATAGACATGTTCTCCTGACTTATATGCAGCAAATTTACCATTGCTAGGGCCTACACCAAGTGTTGTAAAGATTTAAGCTCTTACACAACTACAAGATTGGCATTAGTAATTAACCTTGAATAAACACAACTAAACTAATTACTTATAATTTTACTTATTATTTATTAAACAAACTTCATTATAAAATTAGAAAAAAACCAACTCAATTTTACTTATAATCTATTATACAAACTTTATTATAAAATTAGAAAAAAATCAACTCAAATAAACTATTGTGCTGGTTCTGTTAAAAAATAAGACATCTACATAGTACGTACTTGTGAAGTTGTCTCAAATATAAAATAACTACACTTTTGTTTTTTTGCATTGTCTAATGTATAAAGGGCCGTCCCAAGGAGTGGTGTAGGAATGTCTAGTCTCCTAATTGATTTATTTGTTGAATAGATTAATTAGCAAACTTGGCAGTTGGCAAAGCCAACGAGGAATTTTTTTTTCTTTAAAAGTTCTTAGTTTACACAAAAAAATGTATAACCTTTACTCGGTAAAAGATGTTTTTCTCTTACCTCCTATAAGATTTCTTCGGGAGGGCCGTGGTTGTATACAATATAAAATGATCTGCAACTTTTTTATTGTTAACTAATTTTTTATTATGATGTGTCAGTATATTATAAGATCTATTGAGAAGAAAATAACAATATTCTTTATATATTCTTTGTCTAATCTGATCACTATAAAACAGAATTTTCTAAATTATATTCCCATCTTATTTATCTGTTGTATCCTCATCTTACTTATCTATTATATCCTCATCTCACTTATCTATGATATTCTCATCTCACTTATCTATTATATCTTCATCTTACTTATTTATTATACCCTCATCTCATTTATCTATTATTTTCTCATCTCACTATAATCATATAAACCACGTAATATTCTGAATTTTTCTCATTTTTCTGCAACGCTTAACAACGTGATTCACTTATGTTATTACTACATTATAAACTTATCATACAATTTCCATGCTGCACAATTTGCATGCTACGCTCAAAAATTATCAAATTCCAAAATAAATAAAAAACAGAGGGATGGGGGAGGGGAGGGAGGGGGGGGGGGAGAGAGGGTCAAAAAAAACTTTGGTAAAAGGTGGTATAGCTAGAAAAAATCTAATTCTTTTAAAACCTATAATTATTTCCCAAGAGTTTTTGAAAAATTTTGAATTTATATTAAAAATCATCTGACAATTTTTTTTTAAATAATTTGCCTCGATTATCCATTCTTATTTTAGAAAGAAGCCCAAAAACGAGGAAAATTTAAAACACAGTATCACAAAATCTAGTCAACGAACCACAATCAATTTTTGCAGGTTTGTTCTTCAATAATAGATAATTCATTTCAACTAAAATGACATGAAACCTTAATAGAATAAAAATATGCATCATTTATTACTGATGCACTAAAAAAATACCAAATTGAGAATAGAAAACAAATAGTTTTGCATTAAATACTTATTATAAGATTTTAGTTTAAATGAATTTTATATGTATACTAATTATATTATGAAAATTTCAAGTAAATTAAACTTTTCTAGCTTGAGATATTTTATTTTGAATTTACAAAATCTCGCAAAAAATCAAAGTTCAATGTTTTATTGCAAAAGAAAGTTGTAATATATTTAACAATATGTATACATTAAAACTATTCGGATAAATAAAATGATATTTTATTTTGAGTCTTTTTTTTTTTGTCTCTTTTTTTTATTGGTCTGTGAATTTTTCTTCTATTTTTACCTTTTCACTTTACTTTATCTTCATGTTCTTTACACGTGAAATATTTTGTTCATAAGATTTACTTTTTTTTTTTTTAATATATTTCGCTGTTTATATAACAAATAAAATAATTAAATTACAATGAAAATTTTATATTACACAAAGAATATATATAAAACAGACAGAGGCTCAAAGAAGATAAGGATGACTGGTGTCACCACAATCTTTTCATAGAGCCTCTTTACAATATCATTTAAAGCCCAGATTGCTTTAGAAAATTTACAACAAATATTTTACCTGTTAAATACTACGTGAAGAATAAAGAAAAACTCATATATACATATATACTCATATATACATATATACATATATGCATATATACATTTATACACACATATACAAACATACTTACATATATGTCAGAAATTAAGGAGATGCAGTTTCATTTGTCGTTTAAAAGAGAAAGTGCTTTTCGAATTTTTTATATTGTTATTTTTTAATCGATTCCATAATGACGGGCCTTGGCTAATAATTGAGAATTTCAACACTTGCGATTTTACTATGCTCAAGTGATAGTTATGGTTGTTATTTGACCGAAAATTGTATTTTTGTGAAAATGCTGATGTAAAAATATCAGAAAACACTTTTAGCAGCAAGTTATTTTTATATTTATACATAAATATTAATATTTGAAGCAAATTAAGTTTTGATATATTTAAAACATTCATGTATTTCATTACAGGGGAAGGGTTTTCTAATCTCTTTAAATAGTTAACTGCTTTACATGCGTGGTTTTGTAGGCTCTGTAATCTTATTTATAACAACTATAACAATTTATAACAACTCATAATAGCCCTAATAAAAATAAAACATTTTAATACCTTAAGTATAGTGTAAAATTGCTGATTTAATAATCGTTTAAAAGGTTTGTTTACAAACAAATATGTTTTTAGGGCAACGAGATCAAACTAATTCATTGAGACTTTCATTTTTACTTTGAGTCTGCCCACGTACACATTTTAACAATTTTATCATTTGATAGATCTGGTTTTAAAAGGTAAGTAATCCATAATGGTAAATTTATTTGTTCTTTATACTTTGAAGTATCATTTGTAATATTGACACCAACTAAATGATACCAACCCTATCAGAAATAGTAGAAAAGGTTTCTGCAAACATATAATAAAATTTGCGTAAAGTTGTCTATTCCAGTGTTATCACATACGCCGGTTTTAAAAATAATCACGGCTTACCACGACCAATGTAGGTAACTGACTTTTAAAGTACAAAGCAAAGCCTTGATACTTTAGACAAAACAAATTAAATTTTTCAACATTGTAGCATGCAAGAGCGCTTCGGAAGATAGCAACTGTTGCAGAGCTGACGACACCGGAGAGACCTGGGAGCACGTGCACCCACCACCACACGTTTGTGCCCCTCCACTTCTAAACCCGAGTCGTAGGACATGTGTTGTAAAGGAGGGGGGGGGATTACGATTATATATATATATATATATATATATATATATATATATATATATATATATATATATATATATATATATATATATATATATATATCAGAAAATAGTTAACTATTATTTATATATATATATATATATATATATATATATATATATATATATATATATATATATATTTACAAAATTTATTTATATGGTTGTGCTATTTAACAAATTCAGTATATTTTTTCATTATATCATTATTAAAGGAAAGTTATAAAACTAATTTGATAGCTTTAACATAAATAACGATAGCTAAAAGAAAATAATAGTTATTATAAAGATCATGACCATATGCTTATTTATTATAACTGAGTTATAAAAAGTTAACACCGTTTTTGTTTTCCATAACTTAATTTTAAAATTTTGGGATAAAAATATTAAGCTCCTTATGATATGTATCTTATGTATATCTTGTATTTTGCAGCATGTTTAAGAATACTAGAAAATGTTATAAACATTAGAAAATATTTTTATAGGATACCTTATAAAAATATTTTCTAATGTTTACACTATCAACTCAGAGTCTGACGTCGGTGAAAATATTGATAATAAATTACTATTCTCTAAACATACCTCCACACAAGTTAATAAAGCAATGCGAATGCTATTTCTAATAATAAGATCCTTTTCTTATCTAAATTTATTTTGTTTTAAAAGGGTTTTTTCAGCACTAGTTCGACCGTAGTTAGAATATTGTGGGTCAGTATATAACCCTTGTTTACTTAAAGACAAACGACAGGTTGAAAGGCATTCATGCCTATACAAATCCGATTCTTAACCTTATAAATAATAATAATAATAACAACAATAATAATAATAATAAAGTGCGCAAAAAAATAAAAAAAAATAAAAAGAATACAAGAGAGTAAAAAAGTTTAATGCAATACAATGGTATCATTTTTGTATGGTTACATCAGAGTGAACAAAAAATGAATGAAACGTTAAGTAATTCTTTTTTTTTTTTATTTAATTTATTTAACCATAAAAATAAAAATTAATTATAGTTTACAAAATTAGATTTTGTGTCTCTCATATATTTAAAAACTAGTCAATCGGGTGACACCTTAATAAAATAAACAAATAAAATTAAAAAATAATAAGACAAGGAAATAATAAAGAGAATAAACTATAATAGTACAAGTAATAAAAAAAACTGATAGGAATAATAATTTTAGAAAAAATTGAAATCAAAACAAAAATAATAAAAGAGTAAGACTAGCAAATTGAAAAAAAGAGAGAGAATGAACGGGCGAGATAAGATTAGTGAGAAAAAAATAAACGAAAAAACACAAATTTAAATAATATAAGTTCAGAAGATTGAGTGAGAGAAAAATATTTCCGAAGACAAATATAAAAAAGCAAAATAAAAGCAAACTTAAGAACATGAATTACTACATACAAGATTAAACCCTATATTATACGTTACATATATTAAATAAACATAAGTAAATAGCAAGATATAGAAAGTGTAACAACAACTAAATCGAAAGAGAAAAATGCAAAAAAATAAATATATTTAACATAATTTATATAGATAATACACGATATATAAACAATGTACAATATTAATTAAAATTGTTTTTTTTCTTTTATTTCCATAAATTATTGGCACAAGAAAATAATTTTTTTAAATATACTACTAATATTACTATTATCATTAAATTACCTTTGTTTTATAAATCATATTGATATTATTTATAATGATAGTGATTCAATTGTACTAATGGTTCTATGGTTGTTGTTTTATTTTATTTTAATTATTTCTGTCATAGTTATAAACTTTACTATAATTATTTTTACTGTAGTTTTTATCATTAGTATAATTTTTAGTAAAGTTATCATGTTACAGCTACTATTTGTAACGTTTTTTTTTCATATTATTTTATTATTATTATTTTTATTATATTATTATTGCAATTATTAATATTATTTTTATTTTTTTTTATTCTTTTATTTTTTTTAATCTTTTATTTTTGTTTTAACACGTATTTTTTAAACTTTTAATGTTTTTTGATTTATTTTTTCTTTATCAAACTTATTTTATTTAAAAACAAACACTTTCTCCGATGCGATGTCTTTGCAAAGCGAATCCTTATCTTTTAAAATCATTAGATAAGTAACGAAGAATAATACAATTTATTCAAGGCCTTATTGAGTTTTAAGAGTAAGGTACGTTTCTGGTTGCTTATGCATACCCCATATTCCCCATCCTGGATCTCCCACTGTTTTAGACCCATCGTTCACAAATTACTTGACTTTTTAATTAGTAAATAGCGCAATTTAAAGCGCTGCTTTAAAATATCAAAACCCCAAAATAATGAAACCATTGCAGTGCGCATATTGTTTCGAATCTTGCACCGATAACGTTTCGTTTAAATAAAACAAGTTTAAATGGTTTAAATAGAAAGTGAAGAAGGATATTATTTTGTGCAAGTAAGCTTTTTTTTCTTTTATATATTTTTCTATGAGTAATTTTATATTTCGTATGATTTAGTTATGATTTATAACTTATTATTAGTACATAAGATGAAAGAAGTCATAAAAAAATCACGATAAACAACAAATTCTAATGAAACTAATTTTTTCAGCCAAAATTTTGGTTTTGGTTTTGGCAAAATGTTTGGGTTTTATTCTAATTTTTTTTTTTTTTTTTTTTTTTTTGAAAGTTACATCATTATATAAGAAAACTGAAGTCACTGTATATTGTACTATTTTTTAAGTGACGTCAAATTTTTTTAAGTTTTAAAAAAATCATAACTTTTAAAGTTTTAGTTTTTGGAAAACTATTTAAATGTTTGACATGAAAATTATAAAATTTTTGCGTTCTTCAAGAGAAACGTACTCTTTAGTTAAAGAAAAGTCTTTTTTATCAAAATTCATTCGGTTAAAAAAGAAACATTATGATTTAGAATCTTTTAAGGAAATTCCATCACTTCTGAGCGAAGAAAAAAACTCGTACAAAAATATTCAATTGGTTTCCTACAGACTCATCAGTGAAAATATTTCAACGAAAGATCATTTAAAAACAAATCAAAAAGATGATGACCAAGATGTCCTGAACGAGAGAAAACATCAGCTTTTAAAAAAAAATCAAGTAAAAGTTGTTTGGAGGAGTAATTCCAATAAATCGCTCAAGGAATATTCTTTGCCGAAGTTATTCAGGTATTTTATTATATTATTTATCAAATTATGTATGAAAACTTAATACTTTCTCTGAAAGACGTTCATTCAAACAAAAAAGTCAAATATATATAATATTTTGAATATATTTAGAAATATAAATTAAATTGAGAGTTTTAAACTGCATGAGAAATAAAATTATTTTATATGATTGTAATAAATACCTCAGGTAACCTGAGTCAGGTTGTAATAATAATTTATGAAGTTATTATTGTTTCAAAAGTTTAGTTCCAACTGATGATTTTATCAGTTTATTAAAAAAAGTTTGATCCAGAAATCATAATTAAAATTGTTAAGATATAAAAAATCTAACATGTAATGCTTTATTTATAGTTTATTACAATTCGGTGCATCATCGGGCTGCACAATGTTTGAAAAAACCAATATCGACAATTGGCATAGTTATGGAATGTTGTTCTTCAAGGTATAGTTTTACATTTTACAGCAATTTTAAAATGGTTCATCACATATAGGGGAAGGTTGCGTATGTAGAGCATGTTAACAGTGTATTGTTTTTTTGCAGCTAAAATATTATAATATTTATATTTATTTTTGCAGATTATCGTGATTTGATCTTTTCTCTTAAAGAATATAAATGAATAGTTCATAAAAAAAAAGATTTATACCAAAAATTGCGTTATTTATAACACACCCAATCATCTTATCTTAAAAAACCAGTTTCCTAAGATGAGCTTTTTTTAATGGAACTCAAAAAAACTCAAAATAACAAAAAAAAATCACAAAAAAATTAAATAAAATTGTATCTTCAAGGACTTAAGTTAAAATTAATTATCTCAATCATAAAAAAAAAAATCTTTCCAATCTCTAAAAAAAATTGCGATACTACTTTTTGAAAAAACTTTCGCTCTTGAAATACTAAAATAACGCTCCATCGAGATAACTTTAAAACAACGCGGTTTTCTTAATAAAAAAGGCGCATCTCAACTTGAGCCTCTAAAAACGTATCATCTTCACCAAGTACTATTATAATTTAAATAGCATGACAACAGCTTAAGTATTATCTCATGTAACCCATGGAATTAGTAGTAGATAAGCATAAAATATTGAGGATGCAATAAATTTTTGATGATCATGTTTCGTTCAGACGTAATTACAAAATATTAAATAATAAAAAATTATAACGGGGATGGTAATTTTTTTTTAACAATAAAACAATCAAAGAACATTAACTATACAACCAAGAAATTAAAATAAATAACACCGTCGAACTTGATGAATATCCTTAACCAAAAAAGTTTGCGAAGCACAATCAATGTTTTTATGACAGGTCATCGCCGTCATACTTTCTGATAGACAGTATTGTAAATCAAAACCAATGATTAAAAGCCATTGATTAAAATTACACATAACTTTTAATAGCACATTATGTGTGCAAAACTTGAAATTACAGTAGGAAACTAGTTACCAGATAGAAATTTATATTAAATATTAAGTGACCCGTTGATATTTTTCCGGAGTTACTAACTAACTAAGTCACTGGATCAGGTCTAGTTTCCTATAGAGACACAATTCAATTTGTGTATTATTTCAAAATAATTCAAGAGGTCACCGGGCAGTCTGTCACTACTTTTTGTTCATTTTAATTTTTTTCATGTTATATAATAAATTTTTAGAGTTTGTTCAACTAAATTTGTAAATACTTTAGGCTATTGAAATTCGAGCATTACAATGTGTAAAAGTTTTGATGAAGAACAACTACATCAAAAACAATATAATTCGGGCTGCATTCGGTTATATTATGCAGAATTACGGCGATCAAGAAATAGAGGTAATAAAAAGTATGTACGATCGTTTAAAAAAAAGTTCACGGAAAGCAGAGACTTTAAATTATTTGCATAAGTTATGTTATGCAAGAGAAGACGTCACCGTGATCAAAGTAGCAAAAATGCTGCTTGAAAATGAAAATGTAAATAGTACAGATTTATATGAAAGGTAATATTTTTAGAAACTATACTTTTATAGGACTTTTACTAGTTGTGTTTGATTTCTTATGAAAACCATCTACGTCATAACAATCTAAAATAATTAAAAATATAAATTTTCAGAACACCCCTCATGCTTGCTGTGCTGACAAAAAAAAAAGGATTTGGTTGAAGTTTTGCTAAAAAATAAAGCAGATGTAACGCTTTTTGACGCCAATTTTAAAATGGCAATCAATTATTGTAAAGAAAATACAAAGCAAGTTTATTTTACCGTTAAATGTCTTATTTTTAAAATTTACGATTTTTACATGATTCTATAAGAAGTAGTTCTACGATCACAATTTTTATTAAAATAATATTATTAAAAAATGATTTTTCTGTGTTTTTTATGCTTTTCATTTTGTTTATAGGGAGTACAGATTAATTAGCGATGCTTTAATTATGGCTAATGGACGACGGTAAATATATATTTATATTATATATATTTCTTCTAGTTTTTCATATTAAATTATATTTATTAATGAACAAGCACATTTTTTTTTTTTTTTTTCACTGCTTTTGCATTTAGAAAAAGTATATATATATATATATATATATATATATATATATATATATATATATATATATATATATATATATATATATATATATATATATATATATATATAATTTCAAGTTTTATGTAACAATAATTAGCGTGTTATTTACAGTTAATTTTAAGTTTAATAATTTGAAATTTGTAAATCTCGTGAAATTTTGTTTCTAATCAAAGTTTTTTTTTTTTTTTTAGATTAGGCCTCGACGTCTCAACATTAAATCCACTAGAGCCATTTACTTATTTATAATATATTTCATTGTAACTTATGTATTGAGCTAAATACATCATATTTTGTATTTTGTCTTTTTTTATTCTACTTTAGGTTTATTGTAAGCTATGTTATTTGTTTTTTTACTCAAAAAACATTTGTTCAAACCACGTAAAAAACAAAACTTGTGTCTGTAAAGTGTTTGTTTTACCTACCTATCGAACCTCTTTGTGTTTGCATTATACCTCAAGCGTATTTTATTTCAATAATATAATTGTATCACAAAACATAAAATGCAGTTTGTTTGTTTTTTCATGTTAATTTATCTCCCCCAAGACCAAGAACTACAGTCAAGAAGCTACTTTAGTTGTGGTTATAACCCTCTCTTAATTCTATAACTCCGAAACAATGACGTTTTAAATAAGGTAACTGCGCGAAGAAATAAGTTAAGTGTGGTACTACCAGGAACGGGGTGGGGATCAAACTCGGAACCTTTCCCTTTTGAGGCAAACGCTACCATTAAACAACTATCGCATAGACTATTACTACGAACAGATTATTTGTACATAGCTTCTTTTTTTTTTTTTTAGGTGCCCCAAGAAGTAATTACGGTCCTATCACAGAGCACCGCGGATGACCATTTAATTGGAAGTTCACGCCTCCTTCTTAACCGATATCGCAAAACTTGTTCAGAGGTGGGGTTTAAACCACGGATCCTTTGTTTCTGAGGCAAGTGCGCTACCACTGCGCCACGGCTGCTCTCAGAGCAGAATCTTTTAATTGTTATTCTACTTGTTGTTCGTGTTTTTAAATTATTAAGTGACTGTTTATATGGATCGGGCTGACTGTGTCAGCTGGGCTCTTGCACCTCGGTGAGATGAATATTGTTATTGGGTTTATATAGATTTTTTCTAACCTGCTAAACCGGGATAAAACATCTGTTTACATCACGTGACGAGTTAATAAAATTAAAATCTAAAAAATGGATTCCTTACTATTACATAAACAAATTCTTACCTTTACAACTTTAATAACTATCAATATACAAGCTATTAATGTTCAATATCTACTACAATTTACAAAGGCTATTAAAAATAAAAGATATTTTAATCAGTAAACAATTCTTGATTTATTGAGTTCTAGACGTCGTATATTAAAAAGATTTAAATTAGCTAAAAAAAAAAAAATACGAAAAAAAGAAGTTGTTGATTCTATTTTGGACGCACAGATATGTAGTGGCAAAATCTCATGTTATATATTACACCTGAAGAATCTTGAAAAAAATATTTTGATTAAATGAAACTTCCTTTTTTGAACTTGTCTCTCTTACTGAATCTTATATATATCTCCAGATTCTTACTCACCAAATATCTTACACACCAGATAAAAAAGTCGCTATAACACTATACTATTTAAAAGACAGTGGTACATTGAACATGACAGCAAACACCTTTGGAATTGCAGGTTTTACTACTTCAGCAGTCATTTTTAAAGTTTATAATGCTATAGTAAAGTATTTAGGACCAAGGTTTGTTTATTTACCAAAAAATAAACATCAAATAAGAGAAAAAATATTTGAGTCAAAGTTTGGTATGATCCTAGCCTTTGGTTGTATTGATGAAACTCACATTTCCTTTGTTTGTCCGATTAAGCATCCTCAAGATTATTTTTGTTACAAACAACAGGGACGACGACACCGGGGAGGCCGGGGGCCCCGGTGTTAATTTTTTGAAATTATATTTAAAAAAGCATAATCGAAGGTTCCTTTTTTTTTTTCTTTATAGAAAATTCTAGATATGATGAATTTTTCTAAGAAATTGAAGATTGTGCCCCTCTATTTCAAAACCCGTGTCGTGGGCCTTATATATAAAAAAGAGAAACTATAGGTTATAAAAATATAAAGAATAAAAATAAAGAACGCGGATACTCAAAAAGACAATTAAGTCTTATCACAGGGAACTGATGTTGAAGAAGTCTGAATAAAATAAATTTGAACTTTTCTTTTGTTGTGGTGTAACTAATAATTCTTTTGAATCACTGACTTATTTGAACAGTAATAATAAATTTCACTTAACATAAAAAATTTTCATAGTTTTTTAAATAACACATCTTTTTCTAAATAACACATTTTGCGACCATTGAGTTATATTTAAAAAAATATAATCAATTAAATCTTAAATCGTCAAATATAATAAAAATTAATTTTGCACTGATTTTGTACTTCCAAATACACTAGATTGTCCAAAGGTTTTCTTAAATTAAGTTACAAAAGGTTTAGACTTCCGATTCCGATTACATTTAGGATTCCGCCGACAAAAGGATGATTCACCTCCAATAATAATACATAAAAAACATTTGAAGATACACATCCTTACACATTCATCCGTTTAATATCATTGTTATTTAAAAAAAAAATTAATACAGTGAACGCTCTATATGAGCAACCTCTCTATAAGCAACATTCTATATAAGCAACCTTTGTACAAGCAACTTTTTTTAGTTCAACTGTTCTGTATAAGCAACTTGTTTTTTTAAAGCTAAATATTTGAGTTAAGTTTAGGCTATTTTAGAAGTGTTCACAACAACAAGAAGTAAAATCAGCTGTTTACAACAACATAACTTCAAATCATTAAAAATTCTGTTATTGGAATATGTTTGTATTTTGTGCTGCCAGTATTGGCAGTACAAAACACAAACATATTCCAATAACAGAACTTCTGTTAAATAGATTAGTTACATGAGCTCTGTTAGTGTCTGTTAGATAGCAAATAAATTAATATTTCTGTACTTAAAATTCAACCATAAAATTTGAATCAGAAGAAAAAAAGACGTTCAATATTGTTAAAAGATTAACTATCCATTTAAAAGATATTCAAAATGGCGAGAAAACAAAGGATTTTTTGTAACGAATATAAAGTTGCTAAATTTACTATAAGTAGAGTAAAAGAAAATAAAGAAAATTTAGAAGAACATACAACCAAAACGTATGTTGATCAGAGTAAGATTTAGCAAATAAAGACAGTATAATATAGTGAAATCGACGATACAGTGATTTTTTTGTTTCTTGGAGCGGCGACAATAAAACAATTTAGTTCCAAATAAAATGATAAAGTTAAAAGCACTGAAAGTAAATAGATTAAATAATGGACCGGAAACATTTTTTGCAAGTGATAGGTGGTTAACAAAATTTAAAAAGTGTCACGGTTTACAGATATCGTCTGTTTGTGGAGTCTCTGAGACCGAGCTTTACAGTTCCACAGTGGAGAGAGTATGTCATGCAATGTGGAACTAGCTAGATCATTTCAAAATAAGTTTTAAAATTATATTGCTGAAAATGGCTTTTTGCCTAAATAAATTTATAATTGCGACAAAACTGGTCTCGTCTATAAAAGGTTGTCTAATAAAATCAATTTTAAAATTTTTTTGAAAAATCCGCTGCTGGAAGAAAAGCAATAAAAGAAAGAGTAACAATTATGCTATGCGTAAACGCTACAGTTATGCATAAACTAGATTTGATGATAAGAGGGAAATCAAAACCTCTTTGTTAATTCAAAAATTTGAATTTGCCAGTATATTACAAATCATCGAAAAATGCTTGGCAAACTTATACACTTTTTAACGACTGGTATAAAATATATTCATACCTTTAGTAACTCAACACTTAGAAACTAAAAATCTTCTTGTAAAAGCCCTTCACTCAGTAGATAGTGACATGGGTCTGAGAATAATTTTACTGATAACCCGAATCTCAAAGTAATGTTTTTTCCCTTTAATAAAACATAATAATAACACACCATTATTGCAACCACTGCTTATATAATAATAATAACAATAAAGTATTTTCTTTTGCAAAATAAAACTGAATTTATTTATTTTACGCAGTTTAGTTAGTAAAAGAAATAACGGTAAGCTTTATTATACTCTTTTTTTTTCCCAATAAGCAACTTTTCCCAATAAGAAACTTTTTTATTGAAATTGGTTCAAATGAGTTGCTTATATCCCAGTGGACACGGACGTAAAAAAGACGTCTTTTAAACGTCTTGTACACGTTTTAGACGTCTTTTTTTGGTCCGGTGCCCACTGGGATAGAGCGTTCACTATACTTGTTTCTTATAGAGTAAAACAGGGTAAAATGAAATAGCGGGTAGAACGAAATAGTTATGACAATGTTTATTCTTTCGATCTTAATTAACTATTGAATAACTTTTTTGCAATTATTTTTTGATTCTATTGTAGAGAATATTTTTCTGAGTAAGATTGAATAAAAAAAATTTTTTTGATAAAAAAAATTTATTATAAATTTATAAGTTTTGGAATGCGTAATAAGATTTTTTATATTTGTTTAAAAAAGGAACTTAAAACTCTCGGAAATTAAATTCGATATCATTGAACTTAAAATATACTTACTAAAATATAATACTTTTTACGCTGATCAAGAATTTTTTTTCAAAATTAAATTTGCTATTTAGGAAAAAAAGTTTAAAACGGAAAATGATTTTAAAATAGAAACGGAGTGTTGTGGGGTTGAATGAAATACGCTAATAAATAAATAAATACGAAGCAATAGCTTATTTCTTAAAAGCGGCTTTTTTTTTTTTTTGGTCTGAAGTAACTAATAAATCTCCAACTATAAATTTTCTGTATAAATTTCAATGAACGAAATTTTCTAACTGAATTTAAATGCCTTTTACTTACTGCTTTTATAAAATAAAATGGATTTAATAAATGGTTTTACTAAATGAATAAAATAAGCTAGTTACTCTCTTGTTAATTTGCTTACCAGCTCACTTGTCGCACCTTCTGCAGCCACTAGATGTAGGTGTTTATTGCCATGTCAAAAGAGTTTGGTGGAAATTACTACAATAGTTTTATGCAGAGACAAAGTTCAGCAACTTATCAAAAGAATGTTTCAGTCACCTGCAAAAAACACTTTTCAGCTCTGGTGAAGTTTTTACACGTACCTAGATAGTCTCTGGGTTTCAGAATACTGGCTTGTTTCCACTCAACATCGATAAAATCGATCAATCAAAGTTGCAAATTGCTAATACATTTGAAACACCGATATCTGAACCTGAGCCTTCATCATCT